TTTTTTTTTCTTAACATATATTGCATTATTTGTTTCAGAGGTACAGATCTGAGATTCAACAGTCTTGCACAATTCACAGCGCTTAACTATAATTTTTTATACTTGATTTTTATAAATCAAGATCTAAATAATGTTCATATTTTACAATTGATTAATAGGTCTGTTTTAATTGATTGGTTTGCCCCCCATCCTTTTTTTTTTTCCCATTGCACTTTGTTGAAGAAAGGTCTGTTTTTGCTGATTGTTTATCTGTGGTGTTATTTGATGTATTTTTTGGTCCCCTGTATTTTCTGTAAATATGAATAGGTAGTTAGATCTAGAAACTTGATCAGACCCAGGTTTGCTTTTTTTTGAAAGCAGGGTCTCGAACAGATATTTGTACACCCATGTTCATAGCAGCATTATTCATAATAGCCAAAAAGGTGGAAACAACCCAAGTGTCCATGGACAGATGGATGGATAAACAAAATGTGGTATATACATACAATGGAGTATTATTCAGCTTAAAAAAGAAGGAAATTCTGACATATGCTACAACATCGATGAACCGTGAAGATGTTATGATAAGTGAAATAAGCCAGTCACAAAAGGACAAATACTATATGATTCCACTTACATGAGGTACCTAAAGTAGTCTAATTCATAGAGACAGAAAGTAGAAGGTGGTTGCCAGGGGCTGGGGGAAGGGAACAATGGGGAGTTGTTGTTTATTGGGTAGAGAATTTCAGTTTTACAAAATGAAAAAGTTCCAGAGATGGGTTACACAACAGTATGAGTGTACTTTACGCTACTGAACTGTACACTTAAAAATAGCTAAGATGGTAAATTTTATGTTATATATATTCTACGATAGTTTAAAAGAAAGAATATTTCATAGTTAAGGTGTGCTTCCCATCAAGAGGCATATAGAGTCTTATTTCTCTTTTTATGATGATGGCACTCTTTGATCATTGCCAAGATCCATTAATTCATTAGGAGTTATAAAATGGTGATATTTTATCATTCCTTCTTTATTAGCTGAAATACTGCTATAGAAAGAAATTACTGTTTAACAGTTATTCAGTTATCCTGATGTGTAGTTCATAATAAAAAGGCAGGATAAAGTTTTATTCTTTTCCTTTATCATTTTTCAAATAATTTGTTTCCTGCAGTCCTCCATAGGTGATGAATGAGGGTTTTTGGAGGGGTGTTTGTGTTTTCGTGGTTTTGGGGTTTTTTTTGTATCTGCATAAACTTATAAACTTGTTTGATTTTTTTGATACATTGATAGTTATTCTTATTGTACAAATTGTCTTATTATTGGCTGGTGGCAGCCCCTTCAACTTGACATGTCAGATCCTTTTGACATGATCCTTGCTAATATGATGAAAATGTTCTACGTTCATCTTAAACATTGCCTATCCCATTCTTGGAGTCAGTCATTTCTCCCATGAACTCTGGTTCCTTTAGAGGAAATTGGTATTAAGAGACCATGATCTGGGTACTAGGGATGTTCGTTATTATTGGGTTGGTGATTGTTTCTGGGTTTGTTTGTTGTTGTTTTTTTTTTATTGGACACACAAGGGAATATATACATTGTGTGTGTGTGTGTGTGTGTGTGTGTGTGTGTGTTTGAAATGTAGGTGTCAATATGAATCCGTATCAGTTCAGATAAACTATAAGTTCAGACTGATACATCTAATTCACATTTTACACTACAGGATTTTTCTTTAACCTCATTTATCTTATGTATGAATCTCCTTTCTCGGATGCCAAAGATCCCAGTTTAAACAACAACATAATTACTCATTGCTCAACATAATTACCCCATAGTACACACATAACAGTTTAAAAATAACAAAGGAATCAACACTGTGATTACTTACAGCAGTAACTTGGAATTGTTCTCTGTGTGGTTATGCCACCAGTTCTATGCAGTGAGGTGCATTTGCTTCATTTTGTTCTCAAGTGTTGGAATTCTTTAGTTTTAATTGAATTTTGTTTTATAAAATAGTTACAGGATTCCAAATTCAAATCCACAAAACAAGGTATATTCAGAAAAGCTCCCTGTCTCCTCTACCCTATTTCCTTCCATCTCCTTCTAGCCATTTTGTTTTTAAATAGCTTATCCTTCTTTTTTTTTTTAAATGTGAGTATATAGACATTCATATCCCCCCTTAGATAAATAGTAACATAAAATATACATTTTTGCTACCTTGCAGTTTTCATATAACAGTGTATTCTTCAGACCACTTCATAGGAATCTATACATAATTTTTATTTCTTTTTTAAATCTGTGTTGTGTTGTGCAAACTAATCATATTCAACCAATTCCGTATTGATGGACATTTCAGTTATTTTCAGTTGTTGTCTTATAAATAGTACCACAGTGAAATGGCTTGAGCATACAACTTTTTATATTTTTGCCAGTATGTCTTTAAGCTAGATTCTTAGAAATGAGATCTCTGGACCGAAAGGTATATGCTTTTGTAATTTTTCTAAAGAGTACCAAATTTCCCTCCATAGGAACTGTGCCATTTTGAATCCCCACTAGCAAGACATGTGTACCTGTTTTCCCATAGGCTTTCTGACATAATATATGGTCAGACATTTTGATTTTTGCCACTTTAATAGATGGAAATGGTATCCCAATATAGTTTAATTTGCATTTCTGTTAGAGACAAAACTGATCATCTTTTTATATAGTTAAAGGTTACTTGCATTTCTTTCTCTGTATATTGTTTATTCGTATTTCTT